AGAGTCTCACTTTATCACCCTGGGTAGAGTACCATGGTGTCACAGCTCACAGCAACCTCCAACTCCTGGGCTTAGGTGATTCTCTTGCCTCAGCCCCTCAAGTAGCTGGGACTATAGGTGCCTGCCACAACACCTGGATAATTTTGTTGTTGTTATTGTTGCAGTTTGGCTGGGACTGGGTTCGACCTTGCCACCCTTGGTATATGAGGCTGGCGCCCTACCCACTAAGCCATAGGCGCCGCCCATAGTTTTTCTATTTTTAACAGAGACTGGGTCTCACTTTTGCTCAGGCTGGTTTTGAACTCTTGTGCTCAGGCAATCCACCTGCCTCAGCCTCCCAGAGTGCTGGGATTACAGGCGTGACCCGTCACACCTGGCCCATGTGGAAGTGTTCTTTTCAGGCATTACTAAGTCTTAGATTACAATCCTCAATTACACTTAACAATGCTTTCCCCTATGGAAACAGAGTGTAACAATCAAAGTATAGTAATTGCTACATAATATATATATATATATATATTTTATTGTTGAGGATTCATTAAGGGTACAGAGAACCAGGTTATACAGGTTACATTTGTTAGGTAAAGTCCCTCTTGGACACAAATAATTTTGAAATAAATTTTTTTTTTTTTCAGTTTTCGGCTGGGGCTGGGTTTGAACCCACCACCTCTGGTACATGGGGCTGGTGCCCTATTCCTTGAGCCACAGGTGCTGCCCTGAAATAAATTTTTTGAAAATTAGGCACCTTTGCACCGACCTTCTCTTGTTAAGAACTGCTCATTGTCTATCCAGAACTAAGTTAGAGTGCAGCGTTCTTCATTCTGAATTGGTTTCTAGCCTCAGAAACTCCTCAGGGTTGTGTGTTCACCCCGCCTCCCATTTTCCACACTTCCACCCCATGGAACTGGCATGGAACCCAGACTGTTTGTACCTGTTAGTGAAGAAATCTGTTGATAGCATTGAAGTATTGTGGAAAAAATGCATTCCTTTAGGGTAGGAGAATAGGATCTTGATATTTCATAAAGGGGAAGAAAACTGAGAACTCCAGAGCCCTCGGAATTTGCCCTCCCTCCAGGTGTTGGGGTTTGTAGCCACCAACACCCTTTGGGGCCTTCTTTTTATTTTTTTATTTTTTGAGACAAAGCCTCAAGCTGTTGCCCTTGCTAGAGTGCCATGGCATCACAGCTCACAGCAACCCCCAACTCCTGGGCTCAAGCGATTCTCTTGCTTCCACCTCTCAAGTAGCTAGGACCACAGGTGTCTGCCACAATGCCTGGCTAGTCTTTGGTTGCAGCCGTCGTTGTTTGGCAGGCCCGGGCTGAATTCAAACCCGCCAGCTCAGGTGTATGTGGCTGGAGCCTCAGCTGCTTGAGCCACAGGCGCTGAGCCCCTTTGTCGGGGGGGCCTTCTTTAGGGGCCTTCACCTGTGTGTATATTCTGGATTTTCTCCCCCTGTCTCTCTGTGGAAAACAACACATAGATTCTTCCTTCCTCATTTCTGAAGAAAAAAAATGTACAGCTCAAAGTTCTCTCCACATTCAGTAGAGGGCGACAAATTTTCACACAGGCAATAAGAGTGGCCTTAAAAACCCTCTTAAGGCCTAAGCAGCAACACCCGACTCTGCTAGCCACTGTCTCCGCTGCTGTCATTACTTCCCTCTCCCTTCTCCCTGTCAGTTTCATTCTCAATGCGTAATTTTACCTTTAAGATCATATTAGAACTTGATACTGGATAAATAATCAGTAGGGGAAGGAAAAGGTTAATTAAAGGTGCTTGAATTTCACCTTTAAAGGTTAATTGAAGGTGCTAGTCTTTAAATGAGGACAAATCATTTGAGTACTTGAGATCATAGCTTACACTAAAAAAAAAAAAAAGAAATCAAAGTTGGACGAAAGAGTCAAACAATAGGGAAAAATAGAAGAAAGTAGACTACTTAGCAAATTCTAGTATGCATAAGGACCGTTTAACACTTAGAAGCAAAGAAAAATGTCAAGAGTTGGCTCTATGAAAACTCAAGCTTCAGTACACCTAAAAAGGAGGATAAACAAAGTAATAGAGTAATCTGCACACTAATCGAAATGGTCGTAGCATGTGTGCAAAGTGTTGGTGCAAAGAGCTAACCTAAGTTGCTTAAAAAAACGCATTATGTCTTTAATAAAGTCTACAAAATATCTGACCAATAGTCCCCAAAGAACACTTGGAGATATCCTGATTTCAGGAATTAAATTGAGGAAATGAGTCTTTAAAAAAAAATATAACTCATCAATTCTTAAAGACTGTGAACTGTAGCAGTGAGGACCATTTACTCGGTTCACTAAACTAACAGTGAAGAAAAGTACTTTAGGATAATACCCAGAGCTATGAGGGTAGTTAAGATAGATAGGCCCTTTTATACACACACTGATATACTACTGGGTGGCCGTGTGACATACTGCAATGTGGGATTATGTATCAAGAGACCTAAAGATGGTTTGGGGCTGTGGCTCACTCCAGTAATCCTAGTACTCTAGGAGGCTGAGGTGGGTGGATCACTTGAGCTCAAGAGTTTGAGACCACCCTGAGCAAGAGCATGACTCCCATGTCTAATAAAAATAAAAAAAAAATGAGGTGGGTGTTGTGGGTGGTGCCTATAGTCTCAGTACTTGGGAGGCTGAGGCAAAAGGATCACACCTGAACCCAGGAGTTTGAGGTTGCTGTGAGCTATGATGCCATGCCACGCTAACCAGGATGATAGAGCAAGACTCTGACTCAAATATACATATAAATATACAAAAGAGAGACTTAGAAATGTTTATGCCTTGTAATTTAGTTAACATTGTACCAAAGTTAGCAAAAAAAAAGAAAGAAAAAGAAAAATGCTTATACCTTTTGGTCCACTTATTAACTTCTGTGACTATGTTATACAGGACAAGAATATTGGGAAAAATTATATACCTAAGGATGTTTGAGATATTCCTTTAAAATCAAAATATAATTTGTTATAGAACATAAAGTAATATTTAAAAGTGGAAATAGGTTAAAAAATTAACAAAAAAGATGTTTAAGTATATTTTGGCTATATCTACTTGTACTAGTATACAGACATTTAAAATAGTGATTATAAACTGGGCACACTGGCTCACACTTGTGATCCTAATACTCTAGAGGGCCAAGGTGGAAAGATCACTTGAGGCCAGGAGTTCAAGACCAGCCTGAGCAAAAGCAATATCCCATCCCTACAAAAAATAGAAAAATTATCGAGGTGTGATGGAGGGCACCTGTAGTCCCAGCTATTTGGGAGGCTGAGGCAGGAGAATGGCGTAAGCCCAGGAGTTTGAGGTTGCAGTGAGCTATGATGATGCCATGGCACACTAGCCTGAGCAATGAAGTGAGATCCTTTCTCCAAAAAAAAAAAAAAAAAAAGTGATTATAAAAGCTAGAAAATGACAAGGGAAAAATAGTGGAATAATTTTTGTGTGAAGTATGATTTCCACTATGTTTAAAAAATAAACAAAGAAATTCCTAAGGTTGAGGATGGTTTTCTGTAGTTTCCAAAGAGCTATATAACAGTTACTTATAATGAACTGTAGATGTGTGTCTGTCTGTCTATCTATCTATCCATCCATCCACACATGGTATAAAATACATATTTCAAATATACTTCTCTCTCCTTCCTTCCCTCTTCCATTCGTGAGCTGGTCAGGGAGGATAAGGAAGACTTCCTGGAAGAGGTGAGCACCCAGATGGTGTCCTGATGACCGAACAGGCGTCAGGCAGGGAAGGAGAAGCAGCTACGTGTGGCCCAGGCAGTGGGTCAGCGGATACGCGCTGGGTGATGTGCCTCTGCTTGTGTGTGTGTGTGTGCATGTGTATGCATAATATACCAAATGGCTAATCATGTGACCCAGGAGAGGGAAAGAGGGATAAAGAGAGTAGGAAAGTAAGAAGGAAGAATAGAAATGGAAAATGAAAGAAAAAGAGGATAAGAAAAAGAGGAACAGAACTAGGGCAAGAGAAGTCAGTTAGGGTCAATAGAAGTCAGTTAGGGTGAAGGGAGCTACCTGTGGTCATTTCTGGCAAGCTCAAGGATGGAGTCCTGGCAAGTTGACTCTCGGAGCTTTCCCTGTACTTAGTGCCATCTCAGATATGGGGACTTTAGAGAGTGTCATTCCTGCCATCACTGAATTTACAATCCTGCTGAGGAAGGAGAATACACACAGGGAACAGCTGCAAATTTCAGGGTAAAGAGAGATCAAGGTGAGCCCTAGAAGTGGGCATTGGCAGAGCAGTTCTTAGAGTGGACTCTGCTGAGATGGATGGAGTCCTGCCTAGGTCCTGACTGGGTGTGCTGCCGGGCCTGTCCTCCCGTGGCTGACCGTGCCTGTGTGGATTCCAGGGCTCAGGATGCTGTTGCTGCAAGCTGTTCTGCTTCTATTAGCTCTGCCCAGTCACGGCCGGGATACCTCAACTGAGGGGCCAGGAGTTGGGCTTCCCCTACCCAAGGGTGCCTGCATGGGTTGGATGGCGGGCATTCCAGGTCATCCTGGCCACAATGGGACCCCAGGCCGCGATGGCAGAGATGGCACCCCTGGTGAAAAGGGTGAGAAAGGAGATCCAGGTAAGAATAAAGTTTTTGGGCTTCTTTATCTTAGGTAAAGAGGGTTTCCAGGGCTATATGAGGGCATTAATTATTAACTAATCCCCAGACACAGGGAAGAAGAAAACCCTTTTTATGTCACCCATAATGTTTCTGAAATGGATTGTGGTTGGGATCCCAGGGATGAGGATCAATGGTACTTCTATAACCAGATGCCCCTTAATTCTGCTCCACTTGCATCTCCTTCCCCATTCCCTTTCCCATGCCCACCCTCAGACCTATTTCCAATAATCGTATTCCTATTCCCCTTTCAGTCCATTCCTTCCAGTGACATTCACACACACACACACACACACTGCACACCTTGAAGGACTCAGCCCTCTTTTGGAGAACTCTCGGTCTAGTTAAGAAGATAAGTCTAATGCCCAAGACTATTAGTGGTCACTACAAGAAAGTCTATTCTAAATATGCCAAACTGAATGTGACCAAATACCTGAAGTATAAAATGTGAGAAATGAACTCACTGCAGACTTGGGTTAAGTATGAAGGCTTCAAGGGGGAGGTGGGGCTTGAGCTAGGCTTTGAAGGGAAGATGGGTAGACAGAACAGAAGTGGAAGGGGATCTTAGGCAGAGGTGAGGATAGCACAATTGGGACCAATTGGACCAATGTCTAAAGGGCGGGCACAGGGGAAGGTCTGTGATGGAAACTTATAAGAGATAAAGTTGGAGGTGAATTTATGGGAGCCTGCTGAGTTGTGGGGGATTTGGAATGAGAAGGGACATTTCTCCCCATTTGGTGGCTCTCATTGGTTTCTTGTTGTATTAGTCAAATAGAGTGTGGGTGGGAGCACAGGGACAGTACGTTAGGCTGGACCAACCTAGGCGGGAGTTCTCTTCCCTGTGGTCACTGAGGTCCTCTCATTTTCTAGGTCTTGTTGGTCCTAAGGGTGATACTGGTGAAACTGGAGTAACTGGGGCTGAAGGTCCCCGGGGCTTTCCAGGAACACCAGGCAGGAAAGGAGAACCTGGAGAAGGCGCCTATGTATATCGCTCAGCGTTCAGTGTGGGACTGGAGAACCGGGTCACTGTCCCCAATGTTCCCATTCGCTTTACCAAGATCTTCTACAATCAGCAAAACCACTATGATGGCACCACTGGTAAATTCCTCTGCAACATTCCTGGGTTGTACTACTTCTCCTACCATATCACGGTCTACATGAAGGACGTGAAGGTCAGCCTCTTCAAGAAGGACAAGGCTGTGATCGTCACCTATGACCAGTACCAGGACAAGAACGTGGACCAGGCCTCTGGCTCTGTGCTTCTGCATCTGGAGGTGGGCGACCAAGTCTGGCTCCAGTTGTATGGGGATGGAGAGCACAATGGACTCTATGCCGATAATGTCAATGACTCCACTTTTACAGGCTTCCTTCTCTATCACGACACCAATTGATCACTGCCAACTCACATACTCCACCAGGCTGCCCCCAAATCAATCAAACAACAGTCAACAGGCTTTCAGTGTAGTTAGGAGACTGATTATTTAGTTTTGGGGGGGGGGTCAGAACGTTATTCATTTATTTACTCATTCATTTATTCATTCATTTATTAAGTAAAACTTTATTAAAAAATTATATACTATGTTCCCAGTCATAGCTCATAGCAACCTCAAACTCTTGGGCTCAACCGATTCTCTGAAAACCTCACCTGGCTAGGAGGTTTCCTGATGTGATAGCTCACATTTTACCATGGATGAGAGTCCTGGGTATGAAAGACATCCCTCTCACCAGGTTGGGGATAACTCCCTGGGACGGTCTGTGCTTTTCTCACATCTGAATTTCTTGGAGATCCTTGATAAATGACTCTTGAAAACTAATCTCTTGAATCCCATATCTTCCCAGAGTTAACTCCATTCAGTCTCTCCACATAACCAATCCTTATCCACAGAGACATTTTCATTTTAGGAACCCCCTGGTTTTAAGCACCTAATCTTTATTCAACTGGATAGTGTGAATCTTTGCCACTGGGGTTAAGAATGATTGTGCTTTTCAGGACACTTAAGGAATTCTCACTCAAGAAAGTAGCTTGGGGCCTGATATGCAAAACCCACGAAGGAATCTGGAATCCATTCTTTACTTGAGAACCCCCAGTATAAGGGAAGACAGGGTCTCTGGAATTTATTCTTATTCTTTAAGAATTTTAGGTAGTGGGTGGTGGTGATAAACCTCTCAGAAGGCAACACTCCAGTGATGCTCTACAAAAGCTTTAGCAAACCCAGAGTTAATAGCACTCTGTATAAATACAGAAAGTTGTTTTGACTTACAATTTTAAATTCTGAGCGATCCATTTTAATGTGTGTGTTGTTCATTAAGTGATTATTATTTCTGTACATCAAGCTTCGTCTTTTAAATGCTTTCATGTCATTATTTCCTGCAAGTAAAGATACCATCCAGCATTAAATGCAAACTCACTTGCATCCATGACTTTTGTTTTCATTTTTGAGAGAGATAGGATGTTTAGAGAGGAATGGAGAGGTGAGAGTAAATCCTGCATTAACCAGGATTCTATGCTGTGAATGACTGAAACCCAACTCAAACTACTGTGAGAAAAAAAGAAAGAGATAAAAGGAGGGCGGTGGCCCCATATACCAGAGGTGGTGGGTTCAAACCCGGCCCCAGCCAAAAAAAACTGAAAAAAAAAAAAACAGAGAGATTTACACTGACCTCAAGAACTCAGAAATAGACTTCACAGGCTCAGTGGAGCCAGTCTTGGTGGCCCCATATACCAGAGGTGGTGGGTTCAAACCCGGCCCCAGCCAAAAAAAACTGAAAAAAAAAAAAACCCAAAACAACAAACTGATGATGCAAGTACAGTTTTAGGGCACCGGCCCCATATACCAAGGGTGGCTGGTTCAAACGCGACCCTGGCCAAACTGCAACAAAAAATAGCCAGGCATTGTGGTGGGCGCCTGTAGTCCCAGCTACTCAGGAGGCTGAGGCAAGAGACTCACCTAAGGCCAGGAGTTGGAGGTTACTGTGAAATGTGACGCCACAGCACTCTAGGCACTCTATGAGGGCGATAAAGTGAGACACTACCTCTACAAAAAAAAAAAAAAAGAGAGAAGATAAAAGGAAAAATTTGCACAGTAGAAAATAGCAGTGCTATTTTGTCTGTTCTGTGGTTATGTCAGGCTTGAACCAAAGGTTCAAAGCAATCAAGTCCCTTTTCTGTTTCTCCATCCACTCTGATTCCGACATGTTGGTTTCATCCTTCAACTGTGCACGGTAAATTTCTAGGCTTTCCCTCGTGATTATCAAAAAGACTGTAGACCACCTAACCCTTGTAGCCTCACATGACACCATCCATCTAAAAAGACACTGCTTTTTCTGGTCATTGCCAGAGAGGTGAGAAGCAGCTCTCTGTCCCAGAAGACCCAGCAAGTATGTCCCTGCATCTCATTGGCTCTCACAGAGTTGTGTTCCATCTCTGACCAATCACTTAAGTCAGGAGCATGAAATATACTTAGTGACTTAAGTGTGACTCAAGCTAAGGGTATTTAGAGGTGTTTTTTTCTAAAGCAAAATCTGAACGTTGTTACCGCAAGTGGGAGAATGAATGATGGATACAAAACAATGTTGTCTGTCCACAACAAATTCTTAATCCTGTGTTTAAGCTTTCTTGGGTTTCTCAGAGAGAGATTGCTTGGAAATTACTATTGATTTCCCCTAGAATCCCAACACGTGGTTAATGTCTGGCCATGACCACAGTCCCACGTCTGGGTAGGATGGGATCCTCACAACACTGGGCATAGTGTCATGGTCTCTCTATACCAGTGATTTTCAAACCAGTGTGCCATAGTATACTGGTGTGCTGTGAGAGGATCTCACATGTGCCACGAAAAATTTTAAAAATCATTAATTAAATTATTTTTGAAAGAGGTTCAAAGCACAGTAAGTCTATGTATATTTTTAATTTTGGGGGGAGGAATCAACATTATTTAAATGTGTCTTGGAAGTTTAACTATAGGTTCAGATGTGCTGTGAGACTTAAAGAAGGTTGAAAAACACTGCTGTAAATTCTTGGGAGCAGGGTTGTTTCTTTGTGAAACTAGAGGGCCGATCTACATTCCACCCTCTTCAGAGAAGCTGTGGCCAAGATTTCAGGATTCATGGCCCCAAGATGCCTTCAAGTATAATTGTGTGTTTATTCATTTCTCTTCAGTTCTGTCAGCTTTTGCTCCATGTATTTTGGAGCTCTGAGGCGAGATACGTGCACATTTAGTATTATGTGTTCTTGGTGAATTACCTTTTTATCATTATGTGATGTCTTTCTTCATCTCTGATTTAAGGTTCCATATTTGGAAGTCTATTTTGTCTAGAATGAATATAGGCATTCCAATTTCTTTCCATTAGTGTTTGTGTGGTATATCTTTTCATACCATGTTCCTTTAAATATATTTATATTGTTATATTTAAAGTATGTTTCTTACAGACTACTTGTAGTTGTGTCTTGCAGACCATGTGGATTTTTTTCTAGCCTGAAAACATCTGTCTTTGAATTGGTATTTGGACAATTTATATTTAGTAAAATTGTTGTTATGGTTAAATTTAATATGACCATTTTATCTGTGACCTCTTCTTGACTTCTTTTGAATTATTTAAATATTTCAAAATATTTTGTCTTAATTAATTTATTAGAGTTTTGGCTTCATCTCTTTGTGGTATTTTTTAGTGGTTGTTCTAGGGATTATAATATATTTAAATTTTCATAGTATACTTAGAGCTAATATTTCATCACCTCAAGTAAACTACAAAAGCCTTATAATGGTATTAGTTTCTTTTTCTTTCTTTCTTTTTTTTGCAGTTTTTGCCAGGGCTGGGCTTGAACACAACACCCCCGGTATATGGGACTGGCACCCTACTCCTTGAACCACAGGTGCCACCCTGTATTAGTTTCTTTATCCTACATTTTTTGTTATAGTTGCTGTAAATAACATATCTATTTACATTGAAACGTTATAAACAGGCCTGGCATGGTGGCTACAATCTTAGCACTCTAGGAGGCTGAGGTGGGTGGATTGTCTGAGCTCAGGAGTTCCAAGACCAGCCCAAGCCAGAGCAAGAGCCCATCCCTAAACATAGTCAGGCATTCTGGCAGGCAGCTGTAGTCCCAGCTACTTGGGAGGCTGAAGCAAGAGAATCATTTGAACCCAAGAGTTTGAGGTTGCTGTGAGCTATGATGCCATTGCACTCTGCTGAGGGTGACAAAGTGAGACTCTGCTCAAAAAAAAAAAAAAAAAAGAAAAAAGAAAAAAAAAACAGAAAGAAAAGAAAGAAACATTATAAACAATGTTACAATTTTTGCTTTCTACAATGGTTATGTATTTCAAAGAATTTAAGAGAAAAAAAATGTTCTATCCAGATATTTATCATTTCTTTCTTTCTTTTTTTTTTTGGCAGAGTCTCACTTTGTCACCCTTGGTAGAGTGCAATGTCATCATAGCTCCCAGCAACCTCAAACTCTTGGGCTTAGGAGATCCTTTTGCTTCAGTTTTTCATTTTTAGTAGAGATGAGGAGGTCTCACTCTTGCTCAGGCTGGTCTTGAACTCGTGAGCTCAAGCTGTCCATCCACTTTGACCTCCTAGAGTGCTAGGATTACAGTCATGAGCCACTGTGGCCGGCCCATATTTATCATTTCTTTTGTTTCTTATTCATTAGTAATGTTTCATGATTCCCTCTGGTCTAATTTCCTCTCAACTTGAAAAACTTTCTTTTACCATTTATTTTAAAGCAAGTCTACTGGTGATGAATTCTCTTAGCTTTCCTTCATCTGAGAATGCCTTTATTTTGCCTGCATTCCTGAAGGGTATTTTTGCTGGATATAGAATTCCAAGTTGTCAGTTCTTCCAGCTCCCTTCCTTCCTTTTCCTTGTTCTTGTTCTTGTCCTATCCTTCTCCCTCTCCTTCTCTTGCCTTTCCTATGTTTTCTCCTAGCACTTTAAAGATGCTATCTCACCGTCTTCTGGGCTCTATGATTTGTGGTGAGAAATCTGCAGTCATAATTTTTACTTCTGTGTAATTTAATATTTTTTCCCAACTATTTTCAAGATTGTTTTAGTCCATTTTGCACGGCTATAAAGAAATATCTCAGGCTTTTTATAAAGAAAAGGGGTTTATTTTGCTCATGGTTCTCTAGACTATATAAGCATAGTGTCTAAAAACTCTTTCAGGAACTAACAAGGAGAGAACTCACTCACTATTGCAGAGAGGGCACCAAGCTATTCATAAAAGATCTGCCTCCATGACCCAAACACTCCTACCAGGCCCTACCTCCAACACTGGGAATAAAATTTCAACATGCGATTTGGAAGGAACAAGTATCTAAGCTATATCAAAAATGCTTTCTTTACCTGTGATTTGTAATTCTTTGATTATGATGTGTCTGGGTGTGAA